GGGGTCATATTTCATTATGTGTTCATTTTTATCTGAAGTTGTACCCATGGATGTATAAAAAAGTTTGACTTTTATTCACTCACACATCTGCGACCCACTCGAAACGGTCCGCGACCCACCAGTTGAGAACCACTGGTCTAAATTATTTAAACCTGGTCCTAACAATGAAAATAATCAATCACTCAAACTATTTGTATGTCATTCTCCTGTCTTTGTGGATGATGTGCTTCAGTTTTGCTTCGTGTGGGAATGTGTTGCCTGTCCTCTTCAAGGTCACATGGTGGAGAGGAGGTTGTTTGGCGACAGAAGGAAGCTGCTAAACGTCTTATAGCTGTTTTATGTTCACTTCTGAATTAGTCATATGACTTGTTTATGTTGTATTTTGTATTATCATGGTACAACATACTTGCATGTATATCCAACCTGGGAAAGGGATCCCTTTCTGGTTGTCTTATTGATGTTTTTCCTGAATTTTGTCCCTGTACAGATTGTAAAGCCTCCACATTTATCCCATTGGGCAATATAGATCAAATGTACTTGACTTGGCATTATTGCATGGCTTGCAACCATCTCTTCCTGGCAACCAAAATAATAAAACACACTCAGACACTGACATCCCCACAACTGCACAACACATTCAAGGACTAATCCTCTATAACTCTAAAATTCAAGAAGCAACGGTGGCAAACTATGGCACCATTGACTCTCAAACGCCCCCTACAGGACAACGACCTGGTGACATGGTTAAGATTCCCCCCTTATAAAAAAACACATCAGGGACCGCCATAAACCAGTTACTGGTGACAGTGTTACATCAGTGTTACCCACAAAACTTTAAGATGACAAACTGCAGTGTGTTATGGTGGAGGCCTGTGCTGAAATGTGCAAAATGTTATAAGGAGTACAACAAATTCCAAATGTACTTCAAAATGTTTAAATATAGAATCCCCCTCAGAAGCTGCTGTGCTGCAGTGCTGATGTCACCCCCCCCCCCCCCACATCATGTTGCAGTATCAGCGATGTTTGGCTAGGGGATGTCACAGGAACACCAAACTGCTCCATCAGGGCTGGAGATAAACAACTGGGGATGACACATGACCTCCTGATGTTCTAAGCATTCATTCGTAATACATTACTTCTCATTCACTGTACCTCCTCCACTTCCTGTAACATGCTTTAGAGGTATGGTGCTCTAAAACACAATGTAAGAAAGAAACAAGTCCTCAGGATAATTAAAGAATAAATGTTATTTTATACATAATGTGCCCTCCAAAACCCAAATCACCTACTTATCCTTGCAAATGATTACTCAAGAAGCATATTGATGTTTATATAAATCTAATCCAATGCTAACTGAAAATGTGTTGTATAGATGTGAAACTATGTTAAATATTGTGATTAAACGAGAAGAGAATGTCATTTCTAAGGGTAAAAGTACAAATAAATGGAATGGAAAGAATAGTGTGACTGTGGTTATGTTTTGACTGCCACTGAACGGTTTCTATTAGCTAATCTGTGAAAAATATAAAAAATCTTCCCTTCATTCAAAAGATTGTCTCTCGCAGTTGCCAACACATGAAAAGTGTTTATTTTACGCTTCTTGCCAAACGGTTCTCACACATTCAGGAAGAAGTGGTGCAGTTTGTATTTCCCCTTCCAAAGCTAAAAGTGTCCTGTCTCACAGAGCAGCCCCCCCCCCCCCCCCCCCCCCCCCCCCCCCCCCCCCCCCACCCCCACCCATCCCCATCCTCTGCAGGCTCCTCTCTGCAGCCCTCAACCGACTGATTCACAGAAACACTCTATTCTTCTGCTACATTCAGGGCCCATGGGAAAAATGGTAAATATGAGCTTCTTGTATGCAAATCCTGCTCACCTCAGGATTGTTTGAGCTGGTGAATGGAGTGGTGCAGTTTTTTTTAGGTGGACCCTAAAGTAAGCATCTCAAGGGCTCCCTCAACAAGATGTATTTAAATGTGCAGACAATAAGATATTTGGCAAACTAATGTTTATGTTACTTTCACGTTTTGTTCAGCAGGATAATCTCTATTTATTAAAGCCACGTCTATGAAGTAAACATCCATGAAATAAACAAATGACATCACTAAACACTGAAAAAACTGAAGCGTTGACTTAAATTAAATGTATTATTTCCGCAAAATTCACATAACTGTATTAGGTTAGTTGAAAGCAACAATACAGTTATGTGAAATCTTTCGACATAATACATTTAATTAAAGCCAACGTTTCATTTTTTTCAGTGAAGGCAGTTTGATGTTCAGTATAGTCTCATTTATTCACTTTTTATGACGCATTGAACCTTCAGACATTCACCAGTGGTGTATTTAATTACGTATTTTATGTCGTAGGCCAAAACGTGAACATCTCTTCAGCTTGTGTTAAATAGGCATCTATAAAGTGTTTGACTTCAAGACGAGGGAACCGGAATTGGTGAAATGCTAACTCACTGAGGGTGAAGCTAGGTTTCTTTTTTAGAAACAAGTCCTGTTTCTCATTTGAAGCCAGGAAAAGGCTAGTCACTGTGACCTTTTTACCTGTGCTGGACTATGGTGATTTCATCTATATGAATGCACCTGCCCATTACCTGATCAAGTTAGATGCCACCTATCACAGTGCGCTGAGATTTGTTACTAACTGTAAAGCACTTACTCATCACTGTACCCTGTATGCCAGAGCAGGTTTGCCTTCACTAACTGTATACGGAGGCTCAGTCATTGGTACATGTTCATCTATAAAGCTATGTTGGGTAAACTACCAACTTATATCTGCTCTCTGATCACACAGAGAGTGGCAAGTAGCTATTGCCTGAGATCCCAGGATGTGTTCTTATTACATGTGCCAAGTGCTAGGACTGTTTTAGGTACAACAACTTTTATGTGCACTGCTCCTCTAGCTTGGAACACTATGCAAAACAAATTGAATATGAGCATTTTGGTTCCCCTGCATCATTTTAAAACTTGGATAGATTAAATGTTATTTGATACCTGTCATTGTGAATAGGTTGTAATTTGTACCCCTGTAATTATGTTGTATGATGTCCTTTTTGTTTTCTGTTGTTTTTATGTGTAACCAATGTGCTGCAGGTCTCCCTTGAAAAAGAGATCGTTGATCTCAATGGGATTTTACCTGGTTAAATACTGTAAAGGCTACAAACAAACAAACAAACTCATTCCCACGTTTAAGGACTCATTCCTGCACCACTCTATGGCCACACTGACGTTGAGGCCAAAAAGTCGGCAGTCATAAAACGGCATGTTAAATCCAAACACAGTCAACAACTGGTAAAATAGTAGGCTATTACAAGACTGCAAGACATGACTTAAACCAACATATGATATGAACGCAGCATTAGTCAAAGCTTTATTGATTTTAATTGAGATAGTCTTCTGTTTCAGCACCGGACACTCACTTTCTCAAGACCTCAGTGATGGAAAAACTACAAAATGATCTATTCATGTAGTAAAAGAGCAAATAGAACAACTAGAATGTAAAACATTTTTAACAAGACTGCAAATCAAAGTCATGTAGGGCTTTTTGAGAAAAAAACCCGACAGTAATACATTTTATATAGACACAGCCTTCAGAACTCTAGGCTAATTTATTTAAAATAGTTAAACTGTCTTCTTATATGCCATTGTTATTATTATTATTATTATTATTATTATATGATTAAGTCGCCTACTGTGTTATTATTATTGATGCATTAACGTTTAAAGGTAGGGTAGGTAAGTTTGAGAAACCGGCTCGAGATACACTTTTTGTTATATTCCATGGAATGCTCTTAACATCCCGATAGCAATGAATATCTTAAGTGCTTTGACAAAAAATCCATACAAAAATGTCATCTGTGGAAGCCGTAGTACTGTAAAAAGCACGACCAATCATTTTAGCTGGCCCGGCTAAAATAACTGGATGGCCTACCTGCCTGTCAGCCTTCCATCTGTGCACAAACTTATCTCGTGCCCTCATTGGTCATGTGCGCGTTCGTGTGTGTTGGAGGAGGTGGCAGATTTTCTCCGGTTGTGTATTTTCAAATTCTAGCGATGTCGAGCCGGTTTCTCAAACTTACCTACCCTACCTTTAAGTGTAGCACCTTGGTTGTTGGCCCATTTTTTATCTGCCACTAGCTGTCAAATTAAACATGGTACAAGCAGCGTACAAAATGGATCACTTAAGTACGGAAACATTTAGCAAGTATTTGCTCGTTTATTTACACAAAATCAAAAGTAACACAAATATTCCTAAAATGAAATATAGGTACATTTAAGAAGTAGCTTTATTTGTAAAAAAGAATTGCATCCCAATGTGCCTAAAACATCCAGCCTACAGAAATATTTGTCTACTTTAATTATTGGCAATAGATTTATTATTATTACTGTGCAATATGTGCAAAAGTAGCATATTGTGTTATTAACATTAATGCATTAACATTAAGTGTAGCATCTTGGTTTTATGCACAATTTAAATCTGCAACTAGTTGTCAAAGTAAACATAATAGAATACAAGTATCCTTATATAGAAGAAGAAGTAGGGTGAAATGGTATAGGCTACTAAGAAACATTAAGCATATGCTGGCTTACTTTTACCGTAGTTTAAAGTGGACGTTTTCTACTTTTCCCACATTACATGAACGCAGCACTGTCTTCCCTTCTCTCCCTTCGCTTCTTCCTCCTCTCATCCACTCTGCAGGGCAGTGGGGGGTGACTGCTAGTTCCTGGAAGAGCCGAGCCTGCCTGCAGAGTCACTCACATTCCTGGCTGGGATTCAATGACTGAGCCAGACACACAAACACAGAGGGAGGGGGCGCGCGTGAGTGTGAGAGAGAGAGAGCCATAGACTGAGAGAGAGAGAGAGAGAGAGAGAGAGAGAGAGAGAGAGAGAGAGAGAGAGAGAGAGAGAGAGAGAGAGAGAGAGAGAGATGAGAGAGAGAGAGAGAGAGAGAGAGAGAGAGAGAGAGAGAGAGGGAGCGAGGGAGCGCGAGCAGGCTGCCTCGCAGACTTCTCTCAATACAGTCAGAGTGAACTGCGGGGGCACGCGGAGTGGATTTCTGCAGTCACCGACAGCGGAAAGAGCCTCAAATAAGGATTTTTTTATTGAGCTGTTTCGACTCACAGCCCCGCTTTTGTGTTATTTTCGCCTGTTTGTTTTGGAACTCGACAAACGGAACTTCTCTTGAGTTTGGAGAGCCTTTTTTCAGATATGGACAGTCGGCGACCCGCTGCAGGGAGCGACTGGCCGGTGTACCCTCAGTAGACTTGGGAATAAAACTGTGAACTCGCCTTCTGGGTTTTTTTTGACTGGATGTTTCATGAAGCGTTTCGCATTTTTGGTCAGTTCTGGGACACCGTGGATTTACCAGGTTCGGAAACGGATAGATATTCGTGACTCACTGTCGACGACCAGAAGGATTTACGCTTCTAAAGTTGAAGGAAAAACATGGAGACTGTAAATCGGCAGAGCTTCCAGCCTCACCCGGGACTGCAACAAACTCTCAAGCAGTTTCACCTCAGCTCTATGATCTCTTTGGGCGGACCGGCGGCTTTCTCTGCCCGGTGGCAACATGAGCTCCTGTTCAAGAAGGACGGAAAGGAGCCCGAGCCGGCTCTGCAGCATCTGCCGCCCCCGGTGATGCCGGGCCCGCTGTTTATTCCGTCGGACCGCTCCACTGAGAGGTGCGAGACTGTGCTGGAGAGCGAGACCATCTCCTGCTTCGTGGTCGGCGGGGAGAAGCGACTGTGTCTGCCGCAGATCCTCAACACGGTGCTGCGGGACTTCACCCTGCAGCAGATCAACTCAGTTTGCGATGATCTGCACATCTACTGCTCTCGGTGCACGGCGGACCAGCTGGAGATCCTCAAAGTCATGGGGATCCTGCCCTTCTCTGCACCGTCCTGCGGTCTCATCACCAAGACGGACTCCGAGCGGCTCTGCAACGCCCTGATCTACGGAGGCGCCTACCCTCCGCGCTGCAAGAAGGAGCTGAGCGGAGGCTCCCTGGAGCTGGAGCTCACCGAGAGGAGCTTCAAAGTCTACCACGAGTGTTTCGGCAAGTGCAAGGGGTTGTTCGTGCCGGAGCTGTACACCAACCCCAACGCAGCGTGCATCCAGTGCATGGACTGCAGACTCATGTACCCTACCCATAAGTTCGTGGTGCACAGTCACAAGGCACAGGAGAACAGGACTTGCCACTGGGGCTTCGACTCGGCCAACTGGAGGGCGTACATTCTCCTGGGCCAGGATTACTCGGGGAAAGAGGAGAAGGCCCGTATGGAGCAGCTCCTGGACGAGATCAAGGAGAAATTTGACTTCGCCAACAAGTACAAGAGGAAAGCATCGTCCAGGGTGAGTTGGTCCTCATACCACACTACTCCCCCACGGGCTCTAAATTCTGTGTTGCACTGTGGGTTTTGGTTTGCTCTTTCTGATCCGAGTTTATGCAGTAGTTGTTTTTTCTTAAATGTTCCTGCACAGTACTGAGTTTACAGTTTGATATACACCTTATAATGCATTAATATCTAACAGCTTGGTAACTTGTGACTTTTAATAACGGGATGGAGGGTCCCCTCAAATGTCCCTCGTGGGAATCCCTTGAGAGGGTTCCCTTGAAACTTGTCCCTCTCAAATAATGCATGAACACAGTTATTCTGAGCCACTTACACACCTACAAAAATAACCTGGGATCGTATTGATGTCCTGCTGTGTAATATGTGTCAACCTATTTGGCCATCTTTGACATATTGTGACTAATTGGGCCTCATCCAGCAATGACAACAAAACGCCTCTGGTGTCAATAAAGCCATTATTTGCCTGTGAAACACCTCTCAGGATCACTTTTATTGGCCTGTACTGTAAATACAATCTCATTTACTAACAAATGGCTCAATGGGAAATGGTAAACAACAGTTAGGGGGAGTGTGTCGATTAAACATGGATCCAAGTGAGGAAATAATTATTCCTTTATCCAGTGGGATATCCTTCCACAGTGTAGATTTCTTTCACTGCACGTGTGTTCCCATGGGGAGGGATGCACTGCCAAAGCATTGGGATTACTCTTCTTACAACAAGGTGTGTGTGTGCGAGAGCCTTATGTGTCACATGAATTGTACTATATGTCTGGTTGTCATGTGCCTGGCTTCCTGTGGGTATAATCAGCGATATTATGAGATAGTTCTAAAATGTTTGAATCATCTAAATTAGCGCATATATGCAGGTTTTGGCTCTGCATGTTTCCTGTGGTCTAGGTGATCAGATACGAGGCTTCCGACCAATGAAGTAGTTGAGACATCTGAATCTTTTTTCCATGTTCCTGCTGCTCTGCTCTTTGGGCTGACTGACTGTAGAGGTGTGTGAAGGGATTATAATCTGTGCTTTGGTGTCCCGGCAGGAGTTTTCAGAGAGAGTAGTTGGGTGGTAGACTGATAAAAGGAATCCCACCCCCAACCCACCCCTAGAAAAAAGGCTAGTGCAGCCATTTGCATGAGCTGTTACACATGAATGGAGTTGATGGAGCAGGGTTTAGAAGTATTGTGGTGGAAACATAATATGATCCCAACAAAGGAGAGCATTCAGCAAACATCGGACCCTCCTCCCAAACATCCACCTACCCCAGGCCAGCCACCCACCTCTGACATACACGCACCCATACTCCCCTCCCCCTCTTACCTACTTTTTACTTCAATCTGATTGAAACCAGAGTGGACTTCTGTGCTGCAGACTTGTTGATGAGGCACAGAAAGCAAAAGTGTTTACAAGAAGCTCCCATCCAGTTCTCTACTGAGGCTTCTTTCAGAGGGATCTGCCAAAGAAAGAGAAATCAGGGAGACCATTGAAGTCCTAGAGAGTGCCAAAGCCCTGCCATGCATGGTGAATACCCACTCTTGGCACACACTTTCATTCAAACTCAAGTGGGCACACCTCAAGGAGCCCCACTTTCAGGGGCCTCTTCTATTTTTATAAGTGCCGACGGGGCACCCAAGTGTTAAGCCCAAGGCTCATTTGAGCCTCTACCCCGCTTTTTAATTTGTAGCCTCCTACTTCTCTCGCAAGTACCTTGCTTTAAGAAATGCTAATGAGGGAATACATGCTGGGTAGGAGTTGAGGAATATTGCTTAACTTATGACTACAGAGCTCCCCTTTGTCAGCACATTTCAGCACAGCCAAGGCACTTTGAAAACGCTCTTGCAGGATGTGAGGCAGAGTGCTAGACTGTGTCGTGCTGCCTGCTACCTAGCGCACGAGAAAATGCCATCATCTGCGTGCTGTCAGCGGAGTAACCGGGCAGCTCTGTGAATATTAATGAGGCTGTTTCAAAAGTGTTAGCAGCAGTCTCGCATGCAGACAGACACAGGAAGTTATATTGTCGCACTTCCCTCCTTGCAGATGCTCTTTTCAGAGATTCCTTCTGAGACATGCATATCTCTGAATCACACCGTTTGAGTGTAAACAGCTTTTCACTTTTTGCAACGTACTTGCATTTGTGGAAGTGAAGGAAGGAGCTTGGGTTCGCAGTAAGAGTGCATTCTCTGTTCCAGTCTTAGAGGATATGAGCCGCGACTCTGATTGTAAACAGCTAATGCAGCGGACTATTGAATTGTTGAAATGAGTTTATAAGCTGGGTGTGGAGCCGTTCTCCGGGTGGTTGATGCCAGCCCCTGGCTGCGAGTCCTTTGGTTTCTGGCTGGTATACATGTGGGTGGCACACATAATCAGTGGCTTTCCGCATCAGGATGTTTAGATAAGGGTTGCGGCTTCAGATTTAGTATGTTGTGAACTTTATAATTTGCCCTCAAGATGATGTGATTTCTACAAAATCCGTCTGTTTAAGCGAGATATGAGCAAGAGAATTGAGGGGCTGGGGGGTTGTTTGCTGTTGAGCCAGCTCAAGCTTGACTCATGCTTGGTTCAAAACCAGCAAGTATATGTCAGAGATTCAATTTTTGTGAGGATCCTGTTCCGGCAGTCAGTGCGTATCATTCCAGAGCTGCTACTCCTTTTGTGAGGTGAAGCATGTTACCTGATGTTATCTGAAAACACTCTTTACTTGGCTTTCATTAAACATATTAACCCTGACCTGGATGCTTCAATCCAGATTTCCTCCTAATCCAGCGACTCATTTTGATTCTGTAGCGATGTGTTTAGAGACAAAGGAGTAGTCAGAATCTGTCCAATGATTCTGTGCTGCTCCATTAAGTAACTGTAATGACACCGAACTCATACCTGCAGGCTGTTTCCAAGCTTTATCCTGTGGCTCATTGTAATAAAAGCTAACTGAACCGACTGTTCGGTAGCACAGAGCTATAAAGGCCTGAAAACAGCAAAAGGAAACAAAACGTTTGTCATTTGTGAGCTTTGAATATTTGCCTCTAAGGCATTGCATTCTAATATCTGGCTGCCATTCTCTAATGTGCAGGACCTAAAACTTCCCCTTTTACTTCCAACAACCCCCAACCCTGAGAAGCCCCCACTGCTGCTTGGGATATCTGGCCTCCAGCTGAAGGGGCCGCTTGTTTCAGGAGGGAGGTTGGGCGGTGGTGGTGGTGGTGGTGGGGGCCCAGAGGAAGTGAACTCCCCAAGGGGATATAGGCCCATGTCCTGTTTCATATGCAAGGCGCAGTGTTGGCTTAGCCTGCTGACAGCCAGCCATGTCCACACGGTGGACAGGACAACAGCTGGGAGCTGCACATTTCAATGGCTGCTCAGGGAACATTTCCATTCTCATTTTATGGCTGTTTGGCAAAACGTGGCAGTTGCAAAAGTCTAAAGACAATTTGTCGTGGTCGTTGTGTTTGTGGGGAAAAGTGTTTTTAAGATATTCAATGCTGCATTTTCTGTTATTTTGTTCTCTTTTTTTGCCTGTTAAATAGCATCATTTAAAATGGGTGCTCTGTGCTCGGAAAAGGAGGAAACCACCAATTCAATTAGGCCTGTATAATGAGTTCTGTTGCCGGGCCAGGCTGCCAGGCTGGGTCTCTAATGGGAGACAGTCAGTCCATGCTGTGAGGCATGACTGAGGATCACAGAGATCAATGCCAAATTGACATTCAAGTGTCTTCGTGTCAAATGTGATTGAAAACTCCATCACTTCTCCAGCTCAATGAAACCAAACCAACACAGAAGGAGAGTTCACTGGTGAGATAAAAAAAGGCTTCTTTTAAATGATTTGGACTGCAATTGCTCATTGCCTGAATGTTATGCAAATGAAGTCAATTAAAAAGAGGGTGTTTAATTAGTCATTTAGTTTGTGTGCTCGTTTTTTTGTTGTATTCATTTCCACATATGCCGTGGCTTTCTCAAAGCCTTTCCATTTACACAGTAACATTCTAAAGCACACTTATTGTGCTTATTTAGACTCCTCGACACAAACTTTAAGTCAAATGTATGTCGAAAGATGACAGGTCTGCACGATGATTTTGATGTGCATTAAAAGGTTCGGTCAGTGTTTCCAGGTGTGTGAGGAAGTGGGAGAGGGTGGCAGAGCATCACAGGTTATATAGCATGTTGTGTTGTCTGGAAACATTGTCAAAAGGCTGCCATAGGAGTATGAGCGGAAAATGAGCTATGCAGGGATTCTTTTCATATGCCATGTCTCCCTGCCAGACGCTGTTTCTTTCAGAGTGGTTCGATTTCTGCCAACAAAAGGGGGATTTCCCAGTAGCTGCTCGATTGTGCACAAGTATCTTAATAATAATAATAATAATACATTTAATTTATATAGCGCTTCTCATCTGCCAAGACAAATCTCGAAGTGCTTACAACACATACTTAATCAGTATGTGTTGGGGGGGGGGGGGGGGTTGTTGTAGGATTCAGACTACTGTCACTTGACTTACATGACCACCTTGTGTGTGTTTATCTTAGCATTCAAAAGTTCCCATGATAACTCTGATTTTTCTATTCCAACCAATGACGCCAGACTTTTTAAACAATGCAAAGAGATGAATGGTTGGACCCTGTAATTAGGGCTCAGTATCAAACCTTTGAAGAAATGTAATTATAGCATAAGTGTTGGCATTCTTATAAGATACGTCCTTATTATGTAAAGCTGGTTCTCGTTTTAAGACGTTTGAGCAACATTTCTAGTTCTGCGTGTTCGTTTCAATCTTTCATGACTTTTTTAAAGAAAAAAAATGATTGGGTTTTTCTGAAATTAAGAAATCGATAGTTCTTGTGTTACCAAATCTCAGGTATCATATTGGCACAATGCCTAGCGATACAAAGAGTTTGATCCATCTTGTATGTTGAAAGCATGTAGGACAAATTCTACTTCCAAAGCATTATTTAGGTGGTATTACATTTACGTAGTGCTCTCGAGTCACCCACTACATATATGAACATTTTTCCAT